TGTAGCTGCTCCATCCACCACCGTTTGTTTTACACAGAAAAAAATCGGCAGTAAGCCTCCAGAAGTTGTAATAAAATATGCAGATGAACTGTTATCTTAGTCTGATACATGTTTAAATTATACAGCCTAATGACGGCCGACAGCAGCCGTCCTATCTTACATGGAAGCCGTACCTGCAGCAAACGGGTGCGTCTAAAGGGGGGGATGGGGTGTACTAGACCTTATTAATTTCAAGCCTTTCGTAACTTTTTTAGATTGAAAGTGAAATCATATAAAATACTGTAATAATTCAACTGCATTAATATTTAAAAATATAAAAAATTCACAAGCCAATAAAAATGAGCCAACAACCTGAAGGTTGTTAAGTAGGCCACTGAATGATTATTAATATTAAATATTGCCTACACCATCATACGATCTGTTTTCAGCAGCTCAAAAACATGCCACCTATTAATGTCAGAAAGCCTTCCAAGAAGACAGAGTAAGGGTAACATTTTTATGTCTTGCTTTAGATGATTATCTTTTTTTTAATTTGACTTTGATCTTTTAATGTACTTGAAATTATTTATATATTTTTGCATGTAAGAAAATGTTTTCTTTAAAAATTAAATTTCAACATATAATCAAAAGGTTGGATTTTTTTTTTTGACAGATGTTATATGCAGTTAAACTTGTAAACATTGGTTTTCATTTTAGAAATTGCAATGAGCAGTTCATTCTGAAAAAACACTGTTTTTTTCTCTTTTGAATATTTATTATTGCTCATTAATAAGACAAAAGTATTTTTTACACAATTACTCGATTAATCAATGGAATAATCAGTAGATTACTCAATTACTTAAATAGTCCACAGCCGCAGCCTTATTGTGGTTAATGATTGAAATGTGCAATCAGTAATAGTCTCTACAAACGTAATGATACTAGTGAAATCAAGAAATATTTGTCCTTGGTAATGTCGACGGCAAACCACCACCTAATGGTACCTTGGTCAAATAAATGTTAGTGTTTAGGTTGAGGCTGCATCTTTTCAACACGGTTGCTGAGCAAATAAGCACAAATTCAAGTCATTGAAAGCAACTGAGATCTCTGTCGGTCCTTCTGACTTAATGAAAAGCCTAATAGATTCCACTCTGCCTCCCAGACTGAGCGCCCGTTGAAAAGAAATCATCACCATTTCGCTTTTTTTCACCTCTCTGCCCTCATTCTTTCTCATCTCCTCTCTTCTCATGGTACTTACTGTAGGTTGAGAGCTGTATTTGTCCTTTAGATAGCAAGAACACATGAGCCACTTGGCTTAGCATGTATAAATGGGTATTTGTACCCTGGTTTGTAAATGTGGGTCTTGAAATTTTTCATGTTTTTTATGTAAAGTTCAGGAATTGATGAATTGTTATTTATGATTTGCAGAGGGTGTGCATGGCATTAACACCACAATTTACAGTCTTAAGGCACCAACATCAGGCTGAGGTTAGATCATACGTCAAAGCAGGTGGTTAAGATAAGAGCTGAGGCAGGTGCTCACATTGGTTGTGCTCGTGTGAGGGATATTACGCTGCCGCAAGACTAGAGGAACCTTCTTAAATGAATGCAAGCGGCACCTGAAGTGGAAATTATAAACGTGGATGAGTTTGTCAGCTGATCAGTGGAAAGTAGCGCAGACTGTATTGTCAAGCTGTTGCAATACATCCTCCCAATAATAAATTATACTGATGCGAAAAAGTATTTTTGTTTTTTAAGTATTTGTATCCTTACACACTTGGCAACATACATCAGTTATGGTAACTAACAATTGTTTTTGTTATCAGAGCAAATATATTTACTAATACTTGGCTAATAATAGCGGTTTGAAATAGCAGCCATACTCCTCCTTAAACAGATATATTTTAACCTATATTAGTTTGTTTTCCACTGTGTTTAATGAGATAAAGAAAGAATCAAATGTAGTAACAAATGGTAAACTTGTCAGTCATCAGTCTTGATCCATGATGGTTTTTTGCATGTTGCTATTTGTGTATATTTCTGAAGGGCTTCCCTGTAGTTTTTGTGTGTGTGCCTGTGAGATGTCATATATTCAGGTCAAAGGTAAATGGAAGAAGCTAGGTTAGCAGTGAAGTCAGCAGGTCTGCTTGTTTCTTTTTGTCCTCTGATTTTTCTGGGAAACCCACACAGAGAGAGAATGGCGAGGAGAGAGATGCAAATCTCACCTTTCCTGTAATTGTTATGTTTTTTTGAGGACGTGTTCCTTGTAAGGCATTAAAAATTAACTGTTAATTCTACCAGGCAACAAGCAACACTGTTCTTTGACTTTCTGTTGACTCTGTAAACCTACACCTCATTTGCATAATACCCAGCAGCTGGCAAATGGATAGAGCAGCTACACCTGTCTGTCCACCTGTCACCTGTGTGTGTATGTGTGTGCGTGTGTTAGTCTACAAGAAACAGTGCTTTGCTTTTACCCACCTGTTCAAATGTTGTTCTTCTGTTTGTGTTTGTCAACCAAGACAATGATTATCTACCAAGGATACCATGATTGATTTGAATATGGTTTCTGGATTCAAATACTGTTTTGTTTAGTCCCATGAGTTGTGTAGGCTTTTATTAGTAATGGTCACTGCTGTTTTACACTAAAGCAGTAGCAGTCAGTACCTTTATACCATAATAAAAGTACAGCACACCTAGCCTAGTCTGGCTTTACAAAAATGTGTGAACAAATGTGTTGTTCTAAAGAGCTCAAAGAATTGAAGTGTAGTATTTTAAATAGGAGGCCACTGTTGTCAGTTTGTGAAATTTCTTCCCTCTTAGTAGGGCTGGGCCATATCATATCGTCCACGGTAATACCAGTATAATGTTGGGCAACAATAAAAAAATGAAATATCGCGATAGAATATGGGTAAAACGCACATGCGCAGTGCCTTTGTTTTTATACGCACATGGTGGAAAAAGCATGGCGGAGACATACAAAACAGCTGCTTGTTTATGTGAAAATACATTGATGTTTGTTTTTTTTGTTTGTTTTTTTACACTAATAAAGTTGTGGAGTTGTAAAGTATTTTGTCTAGTGTCAACTAAAGAATGTAGCTTCATGGGCAGTGTAGTCTGTGCTGCGGGGAGAATGGACTGCCATACCCGTTATGTGTCTGTGAGCGCGAGGTGGGAGAAAGGGAGAGTCGAAAAGTACGAATTGTCACCGACCAGAAACGGGAAGTGGAAGCATGTAAATATAATAATAACCACTGCAGCCAAAAAGAGTGCCTGACGAGCCCAGTTGTAAGTCAGCTATTAAGACTCGACTGTTCGTGTTTTCCTCCGAAACAATAAGCTCCGTTGCAGCAGCCTTTCAACGCCTCTCTCTGTCTCTTGCTAGCAAAGTTGACCCAGACAACAAAGTAAAGCTAGTTTTCGGCTACGAACCCGACACAGAACCCAACGTATTAGCCAGAGGTCCCTTTACTACAGTTTGGAGCCGCGGACCTGTTTTATATACACCTGGAATAGTTTTCAGCGATTGCTGCAAAAAGTGCAGCCTTACCTAATGTCCACCCTACTGTTACTCATTTTATATTAAAATTAAAAAATCTAGTTTGTATTGGTATCGCAAGTAGCCTTCAGTAATAGTAATAAATCACACAGCAATAGTACATTCATGTAGTTGTAAAAAGCTTGACAATATATTAAGTAATCTAAAGTATTCAGAATACGTTACTCTCATTGAGTAACGTATTCTGAATACGTTACAAAATACATTTTGGGGCACAATTAATGTAGCACCATCCACGTGCTATATTGCTAGTTGTTAAGTGTAGTTGCACGTTTAGAGCAGCTGAGCTATTTGTATGTAGCTCTGCACACAGGAAGAGAGAGGCACCATGGAGTTTATTACCCGCTTCCAACATGAAGACAAACTAATCTGTATATATAGCAGCAGGAGAACAGAAATCATATTTAACCTTATTTACATGGAACAGTGAATGACTGTTAACTTGCCGACTTAAGTGTTTAGATATCAAATGAACAGATGAAGCAGATAAACAAAATACAAGAGAAAATTTCATATAAATCATTATTTTGCATGTTGATAAAAAAAAGGTTAACTGGAACAGTAGGCTAATAGCAGTTAATGAATTTAGTTTTTTATCACATGAATAGACCTGCTGGGGGAGTCAACCTAGTCTATAAATACACTGCCAGAAACATGTATTTAATGAGCAATTATAATTATCTTCTTCACTATGAATGTCTTTGAACATTAAATGCAGTTAAAATGAAAAACAAATAGAATACTGAAATGTAAAAACCATCTTGTAGACTGTTTTTCTTCTAGTGGCTTGCCTGTGACATGCAGTGACATTAAAACCCTTTGTTCTTTACTGCTGTCTGTGATGTAGGACAAATAAAAGCTATTGTGAAAGAAAGAGCTTCACAGGAGGAAGTGTTGTGCAGATAAGAGAGAGAAATAAGGAAGTAAAAGGCCCTGCATACAAATAGGATGCTCTGTGTAAATATAATGTTTTATTCTCATAGTATATGAGTTGCCCTGATATAGAGTAATATTTCCTGTTGTGTAACAGAAAGTTATGTAACGTGCTTTAACAAATGTCAGTCACACAGTGACTTAAAATGGCAGGATCAAAATTCTAGATTCAGCATATCAAATTTGCAAACAACAAATACTAATATCTGTCATTCTGAAAATGTCAAATTCTGAAATAATAGGGTTGTTTTATGGTGACTGGTCACTGTTAAATCACCTCATCTCTGCTTGTGTATGATGGACATGGACAGTAATAAAACAGAAGTGTGTTTACGGCCCTCTTACTCAGGCAGGTTGCAGGATTTTCAATGTCTGAAGAAGATGGCAAACAGATAGTTGACTGGCAGCCAGCCAGCAATCTGCTACCTCCATCTTTACTTATTGTGTCCTTGCCGGCTTTCCGTTATGTGTTTGCTGTGTTTGATTATGGTTTGTTGACATTGTTGCTCTTGCTTTTTGTTCTCTCCAGCTGGATGGGGACACCATGTTCCTGGGTATGCCAGAACCAGGCCTTGACTTCGCCTCAACCAATCAGGTGTGTGTTTATGAGACTGTGTGTGTGCGTTCATTTGTGTGTAGAGACAGAGTGTGCCCAGTGAAGTTGTTTGTTTTACTTTCTGCTTTCAAATCACACTGAGCTGTTCTCTAAATTCCTTTTAAAAGTATGTCAGCAGTAATGTTGGATGTTCCATATTTTATTGAATATGGTTACTAATGAGAAACCGTAATCAGAACGCATAGAGTGCATTTTGAGAAAGTTGCAGCTTCTCTGACGTGCAGCCAAATTATCTTGGGGATATCTTGCACCATGGATCAGTGTAACATGGTGACTTCATGGGATGAGTGTTCCCTTTTTTCTAAAATCATGCAGTGTGGTTGTCATTTATCTGGAGTAAACAAAGGCAGCAGGTGTGTGTGTACCGGTTTAGACATCGTTGTGGGGATCAAAAATTGGAAGTTTACTATACTTGTGGGGACCAACAGCCTTTATGGAGACCAAAATCCCGGTACACACAAGTTGGAAGGCATTTTTGAGACTCTAAATATGGTTTTAGTGTCAGGGTTACCATAAGGTTATGGATAAGTTTAGGGTAGGGGTTAGGGTTAGGCATTCATTTTTGATGGTTAGGGTAAGGGGCTAGGAAAAGCATTATGTCAATGAGATGTCCCCACAACGATATGACTACACACACGTGTGTGTGTGTGTGTGTGTGTGTGTGTGTGTGTGTGTGTGTGTGTGTGTGTGTGTGTATTGGGGGAGTTCGATACAGCATAGTATTACAATGTATGTAGCAATGCAGGGATATCAAATATTGATATTTTATTAAATAAATAAAAATGATCTGGGAATATAACAAATGCGCTAATCTTACATACCAAAATCCTGAGATAACGTTAGACAAGCAAACTTACATTAATTTGACTCCACTGAAAACTCAAATTCATATATGTGATTTTAGACAGTTTATCACAGTTAATTGCTGTATTATCAGAAATGGACTGCATGTACTTGCCAACTTGACCCCATTCAGTTGCTCACTGACATCAAACTAACTGTCTTATGACGACATTTATGGCAGATTTTATTGACGGTGTCTGAGAATACTATTTTGGAGTTTTAAAAAAAATGAAGTGAGATAACTTTATGTTGTTATGTAAGTCAGATTTGTCAAAGTTTAACTTTCAGGACATAATTTGCAGTTGAAAAATGGTGATAGATTGCAATACATGTTATTGCAATACTTACCATATCACAAATTTTAAAAATCCCAATAATACTGCATTGTGAGTCAGGGCTGCAGCTATTGATTATTTAAGTAATCGAGTAATCTATCAATTGTCTTATTAATGAGCAATAATAAATATTCAAAAGAGAAGAAACACTGGTGTTTCAGAATGAATTGCTCATTGGTTTCCATTTTAGAGATTACAGTGTTTTATAATTGTATACAACGTGTAAAAACAAACAAACAAACAAACAAAAACAACACTTTCATTGTATTTATCATTTATCATTTTACATTTATTAATGTATCAAAATAATTTTTTACTTCAAAAATATGTAAATAATCTCAAGTACATTAAAAGATCAAATTTAAATAAAATAACATAAATGCAATCTAAACTACAGCATGCAGAAATGTAGCTTTACTATGTGATCTTGGAAGGTTTTCTGACAGTAATAGGAGGAGTGCGTGCATGTGTGTCACTGTTTGAATATACATAAGTTGGGTAGATTAGTTTACTAAGAAGTTGAGATTTAGGGATTAGTTTGAAAAACCAATGAGACAAAGCAGGTCGTATCACCTGTATTCAAAGTTGTTATAAGGGAACTCGTGATGCAGACTACTTTGTAAACAGCTGC